TTGGGGGAACTAAGAGGCAGTTTGTGGGGGAATTGGATAAAAACCAGAGAATGTGCCACCACTGAAATTAAGGGGGGAAGTTTTATTTTCTCTCTTTTGTACTGTAGGCCAGGACACAGTAGGTCATTTTGTCATTTCACTCATGGAGAAGACAGTTTGGGAAGCAAGTAGAAAGCTGCTAGTGGTACATTTGTGTGGGAAATCTTTTGACAAAACTTTATCCGAAGTATTCCACACAATCTCTTAGAAGGGAAGAGGAAGCTAGTCAGTTAACCAACCATATTTACTCTGCACAAAGCAAGGTCCCAGACTGGGGACGATGGAAAATAAAAAGTATTGGACATGGAGAGCCAAGCAGGTTAACTGTGGAGGGTGTCATTTCAGGACATTCACCTGCTGAGCCTCCAGGCATCCCTGCGTTTCTTTCCATGCGTGGATGTGCACACGCATACTCCAAGATGCACACAGACGCAGACATGTGCACACAGAGATACAGCCAGACACACACGGACACACAGGCACACAGAGATACATACACAGAGATATGTACACATACATGTGTGCACACACAGATATACAGACACATGCACACAGATAAACGCAGATACATGAACACACTGACATATGTACAGACATACACAGATACATGCACACACAGATACCCAGACACACACACATGTACACAGGCAGAGATACATATGTACACACACAGATAATCATAGAGTTGTATACATACACACTGAAAGATACACATGCACACACAGATGCATACACACAGATACACAGATACATACATAAATACGCCAGCATATATATACAGACGCACATATGCACATACTTATACCTAGACAGACACACATACACATGTGCACACGGAGTTATACACATGCACACACAGATATACACACAGAGGCATACATATAGACACGCACACGGACACACACAGATTATCAGACACATCTTGCCTCTTTGTTGCAGGGACACCTTCTGGCCACCAGGTGTCACTGCGTCAACCACGCTGGAAGTCACGGGTACCGGAGGGGACCGGCAGTAGCTGTCATGGAGCCACTTTCTGGATGACCTTTAATGAAAACAGAGCTGCCAGAGTAGCTTGACAGCAAATTTTATTCGTAACAGAAAATCCATCCTAAGACTCACTGTAGAATTGCTCCAATTCATTTCTCTTATCGGAGACGGTCACAGTAAAAGCAGCCAAAGAAAAGAATCAAAAATTGCCCACTTGGCTGAGCCCCTGTGCCTTCGTAGGAAACGGTTATTGGAAACGGCTTTGAGCCTCGCCGTGCAGAGGAGTCTCGGTGAGGGGAAGTCATTCAACTACAGGGAAATGAGGACTTTCCTTCCGGGAACGGGCGGAGGGGACCCTGAATCCTCAGGCCGTGCGCATCGCCAGAAATGAGCTGGAGGCTCCGGGGACTGATACTCAGTTTGCCCCTGTGCTTCCCTGCCAGCTAGAGCAGTGCCATCACTCCCTCTTGTGTCACGGGCATCCTTAATAAGTCTCAAACATGCATTCTCGTGCCAACAGGTCCTGCAAAAAAGGCAGTCTGCATATTTCAGAAATCAAGCAGTTTGGCTAAAGGACCTGCAGTGCAACGTGGTGCATGCCTGTGGGAGCCGCGTCCTGGGCTGCAGGCATTTAGTAAAGGCTGAGCCTCTCCAGGGGGCACTTTTTTTTTTTTTTTTCAGAAGTGGCTTCACCGTTATTTAGTTTTTATGATCTGACTCATACTGGGGTCTCATGTGGTCAAAGGAAGGGCATCAAAGTGTCTTTTGGTTTTTTGGTATCGTGTAGACTATCAGGCTTCTAGTTTAATGAAGTCTTGACAAGGGCTTCATAGCTGTAATCTACTGAAACGGGCTGAGGTATATTTAAGCAGAAGAATTATTGGGATGATGTTGGGAAGGTTAGTTCTCAAGGCTCTGAAGATGGGCTGACAACGAAGAGCAGGCCTGGGGAGCACAGGTCCCCTCGCTCCTAGGGACATTCTTGAGAGAGCCATGCCACTGCTGCTTGTGGGTGTTAGGCCTGGCTGCGGGCCTTGAAGCCCTTCTGATTGCTGCCTGGGCGTAACCTTGGGGAGCCCACTGTCATCCTTGTGCTGACCTGTCAGCCAGTCCAGAACCAAAGCCCACTGGTGTCCTTTGCCCTCCAGCTAGAAGACCCAACTCTAGATTCTTAGTTTCTGTGAAAGAGGCTGGCCAGACCATGCAAGGACAGTTGCCTGGAGCTCCGGCAGGAGTTTGGATGAGGGTCAGCTACAAAGTCACAGACATGCAAGTGGACTTGACCTGAAATTCAGAACAGTTTTTAGGTGGGCTTAGAAAGGTGCTGGGTGATTACTGGGTATATACCCAAAGGCTTATAAATCATTCTACTGTCAGGGCACATGCACACACATGTTTACTGAAGCACTATTTACAATGGCAAAGACATGGAACCCACCCAAATGCCCATCAATGATAGACTGGATAAAGAAAATGTGGCACATACACACATGGAATACTATGCAGCCATAAAAAAGGATGTGTTCATGTCCTTTGCAGGGATAGGGCTGAGCTGGAAACCATTATCCTCAGCAAACTCACACAGGAACAGAAAACTAAACATCGTATGTTCTCACTCATACGTGGGAGTTGAACAGTGAGAACATACAGACACAGGGAGGGGAACATCACACACCAGAGCCTGTTGGGGGCTTGGGGTTAAGGGGAGGGAGAGCATTAGGACAAATATCTAAGGCATGCAGGGCTTCAAACCTAGATGATGGGTTGATGGGTGCAGCAAACCACCATGGCACATGTATACCTATGTGATAAACCTGCACGTTCTGCACCCGTATCCCAGAGCTTAATGTAAAATGATACAGTGCTGTGTGAATTTGAACTTGAGGCATATGTGATGTGCCAGTGGACCAGCAGTGAGACTTTTTTCCCCAGTGCCCATATTTAGGGGCACATCCCCGTGCTGCAGCCAGGCACCCTGATGCAAACACCCTGCCGCTGCCACTAGCATTCCTGCTGCATCCTGGGATCTGGCCTGTCCGGTAAGCTCTCTCTCCTGCATGACTGTGTGCGCCGAGCCATACCTGGCTTCTGTCTGCCACTTCCCCTGGGCTTATACTGTTTAGTGCCACCTCACATGCAGCGTCCCTTGTAGGGTTCAGGGGGGCATCTGGTGCCCCAACCACCACCATGGGCAGTTTCAAGATGCGATCTGCTAATAGGTGTTTCATTACAGTCACCTGGGGTGCTCCTCAGTGCAATTAGATCAGAATCTCCAGGATGGGTTTGGGCCCCAGACGTTTTACAAGGCTCCCCAGGTGAATCTGAGGAAGCAGACTTCCTGGTTAAGAAAGTCCATGAAGTGTTTACTGAGCTAAGAATGATGGTGGCAGCACCTTGGTGGTTGCTCTGGTGATGTAAAGTGGCCTGCAGCCTCTCAGAGCCTCCTTCATGTTTAAAACAGGACGCTCTCCTCCACCTGTGAGCCTGGGAATGCTGTTTCCCTGTCTGACATGCCTGCCCTCCTCTGTCTCCCTGTCTGGGAGCCTTTCCCATCTTTGGATTCTCTGCTCCAGCACAGCTTCCAGGATGAGTGCCTCCCCGCTATTCCTGTCTGATCGGCCCCTTCTCGGAACTGTTGTCAGACTTACCTTTACATTACTGCCCGGTCTTGCCCCTTCACTTATATCCACGGGGTCACCCTGCACTCTGCATATGATGGGCTTTGGTTGAATGTGTATGTCTGTGTCTAGAGCTGCATAGCATGGCCCTGTCTTTCAGAGGTGTGCGTTAGTATCATCCTCTGTATTAATATTAATTCATGTCTTAGCAGTTTGACTGCAGGCATCTTCATGTCTGGGAGTGTGGTGGGTACCTTGATGCGAACTTCTCAGTGCCTAGTAGAGAGTTACCTCTCCTGCTTAGAGCAATGCCCTGAGTTAATTTTTTAAGCCATTATGGCAATGGTCTGCCTTACAATGGGAGACTCACGTCTCCATACTAGAATACTTCTCATTCAGTGCTTACAGGAACATGACACTGGACACAACTTATATGATTCTTAGTAATAGCACAGGTGCTAATGAATAGGCGATGATACAGCCAAGTACAGGGAGGGAAGTCACGGCGTGTTTCCTGGTATCTATAAAAAATCGCAGCAATGGTTTTACGGGTCCTTTAATGTGCCTGCCATGATGCCGAGCGTTTATGTGCATCATCCACGCATTCCTCATGGAAACCCCAGGACTCGGTGTCACCAGTCCCATTTTATAGGCAAAGATAAGAGGCACAGCAGTGATGGGTAATCATGATTTCACATTGAAGAGCAGAGCTGAGTTTCACCTCCGAGTCGTGCCGCTTTTTCATGTTGCCTGTTTGCGTGTGTGCATGTGTGTGTGCACGTGTGTGTTTGTGTGCATGTTTGTGCATGTGTATGTATATATGTGTGAATATGTTTGTGTGTTTCTCTGTGTGTGCATGTTTGTGTTTGTGTGGGTTTGTTTGTGCATGTGTGTACATGTATGCGTGTGTGTGCACGTGTGTGTTTGTGTATGTGTACATGTTTGTGCATGCGTATGTGTGTGTTTATATATGTGTGCATATGTTTGTGTGTTTCTCTGTGTGTGCATGTTTGTGTATGTTTGTGTTTGTGTATGTGTGTTTGGGTTTTGTGTGCATGTGTGTACATGTATGCGTGTGTGTGTGTATGTGTGATTTGAAATCAGTTACTCTGAGTGGAAGTCAGAGGGAATGGAAATTCTGACATGGTATTGAAAACAACTGTCGGACCAAAATCAACACAGAACGGTGATGTGTAGACCGAGCGAGAATGAAAGTGTGGGCGGGTGGGCACGCCTGGGTGAATCCGAGCAGAAGAACTTGCAAAACCCAGCCCCTGGTGGGCAGAGAAGGCTGTTGAGGTGCAGGTAAGAGATTTTTAAGAAACGACCTGCTGTTTGTTGTTATTCCTTGTTCTCTCTGTAGGAGGTTTGGACAGGCACTCTCTCACTGATGTGCTTGTAACTTTCATTGTCACCTTTATCAGCAGACTCGCCCTGTGGAGAGGACAAATTGGATTCATGACCAGACCTCCGAGAGGCTGCGTCTCCAGGCAGCTGGGGGGAAGCTGTCTGGAAACAAACACGTTTTCCAGCTCACTCGACCCTCGCATTTCCAGAGCAGAAGGTGTGTGATGTGGACTAACTGAAACTTGCCACCAGCTTGTCTCATCTCTCATGAAACTGCTGGAAGAAATACAGTGGATAATGACTCATTTCTGTGCTCGGGTCCAGATAATAACTCTCACTTCTTAATAACTTCCCTCTGGCCATCGATATCTCAAATGCAATGAAATGCTGTAAGCTGGCAGATGATATTTTCATTAGATGTGAAGCAATTTTACCAAAGTGAGATAGAGACGATACAGGGGAAAATGCTGTCTCTGACCAAATAAAGAGGTGGGCTGGAAAGTACATGAAAATAGGACTTCAGGTTGGAACACGGAGGCCTAGAGTTCCCAGGAGAGGGAGAGAATGTCCCATTTTTCTGTCCTTGTTGCTGATGGACCTGTCTTGGTGTTTGGAAGGCAGGCGTTCACCCAGACTGGCCAAGCGTGGATGCCACGTGTTAGGCCATGAAGGATGGCAGCAGGATGTGGGAGCTGCTTGGCTTTCATAGGCTCGTGGGATGGGGAGAATTTTGGCCTTCAGCTGAAGGGAGCAGGATTCCTCTCTGGGCTCTATTTCCACCTAGCAGCCTGGCCTTAAGCAAGTCCTCTAGCTTCTCAGGATCTCAGTTTTTGTTGTTGTATATTTGAGACAGTGTCTCTCTCTGTTGCCCAGGCTGGAATGCAGCAGCATGACCTCTGTTTCTTGCATCCTCTGCGTCCCAGGCTCAAGTGATCCTCCTGCCTTGGCTTCCCAAGTAGATGGGGACTACAGGTGCATGCCACCACATCTAGCTAATTAAAAATTTTTTTTTTTTTGTAGAGACAGATTCTCCCTATATTGCCCAGGCTGGTCTACAAACTGTTGGGCTCAAGCCATCCTCCCACCCTGACCTCCCAAAGTGCTGGTATTACAGGTGTGAGCCACCACACCTGACTTCTTGACTTCTTTAAATGTTCGGCAGAATTCGCCAGTGAAGCTGTCTGACCTGAGTTTCCGTAGGCCAGTGTTCGTGTGTTTGGCCTGCTGTGATAGAATACCTTCAACTGGTCACGATCTCATTTTTCTGTCTGTAAAATTGGTTAGGACATCTCCTCGTGCCATTGCTACTCAGAAATCTTATCCTTTTGCCCCTTTTGAGGGACAAATCTAATAGACAAAGCAGTAAGCTGGAAAACCAAAATCACAGGTCCAGATGGCAGATAGGACTTCAGAGGACAAGTTAGTCATCGTGGACGAGCTATGTCATGTGGGTGCTTTGGCCTCAGCTGGATTCTAGAGGAACCCAGAACCGAGTCCTTGGACAGAAAGATTCTAGAGTTCAGATGGAGAGGACAGCAGGAGCACAGGCCCTGTGTGAGCTGGTGGCCATTCACTAAGATGGAGATCTTTGTTCTTCTAATGGAGAGCTTGTCTCACTTTTTTCTCTCTGTTCTTCAGAATATCCTGAAAGTGTTTTTAACATATGATTTAAGAATCCTCAGGAAAAGCCTCAATATTTCTCGAGTTATAGAGAGTTTCTAAAATTGTGTGGATCAAGGGGTACTACTTCTGCTGATTAACCTACTTGTGATAAGTAATCTGTTCATCACATTCACTTGCAGGTAGACAGTACGCTCTTCTGAAGGCATACAGTTCATCCAAGTTCACGTAGTAATTATCCAAGGCTCTCTGCCCCTAGTTACAAGAACTGAGTTAATGTGCTCCTGAGTCCGTCTATATTTTTAATGATCATTTCATTTCCCTCATTAAGCATTTAGGTTGCTCATTTGAAACGTCCAAATTGATAATGTTCTCTCATCTTTATGTGGTTTTCATGGAGGCATGAGAACTCCTCAAAGTCAGAGCAATGGCTCTAAAATGATCTTCTCTGGTCAACAGAGCTCCTGCATACCCAGGACCATATCTCCCTGCCCAGAAATGACTCCTGCACACCTACAGATACCCAGTCAGCCCTCACCTTGCCTGTAAGCCCCCTTCCCAGGAAATAAGAGCAGAAGAACAGAGAAGCCGCAGAGTTTCATTGTGGGTATATGAAAATGAAATACGTGGCGTAACTGTTAAGGACTGAACTGTGTTCTCCTGGAATTCGTATGTCAAGCCCTAATGCCTTAGGGCCTTTAAATAAGTCATTAAGTGTATTAGTCTGTTCTCACCCTGCTAATAAAGACATACCTGGGACTGGGTAATTTATGAAGGAAAGAGGTTTAATTGATTCACAGTTCCACGTGACTGGGGAGGCCTCACAATCATGGTGGAAGACGAAGGAAAGCAAAGGGATGTCTCACGTGGCAGCTGGCAAAGAGAACGTGTGGAGGAGAACTCCCATTTCTAAAATCATCAGATCTCATGAGACTTAGTCACTACCATGAGAGCCGTATGGGAGTAAGAGCCCCCAGGATTCAGTTATCTCCCACCAGCTCCCTCCCATGACATGTGGGAATTATGAGAGCTACAATTCAAGATAAGACTGGGGTAAGGACGCAGCCAAGCCATACCATTAAGGCAAAATGAAGTTAAAAGGGAGGGGCCCTAAGCCGTATGGCTGTGGCACTGCAAGAACAGGAAGAGACACCGGGGATGCAGGCACACAGAGAAAAGGCCATATGAGGACACGGCTGGAAGACCGCCATCTGCAACCCAAGGAGCGAGGCCTCAGGAGAAGCCAACCCTGACCACACATTGTTCTTGGACTTCCAGCCTCCGCAGCTGTAAAACAAGACGTTCTTGTTGTTAAAGCCACCCAGTCTGTGGTATTTTGTTCTATGGCAGCTAAACAAATGCAGTAAGAATAGAAGAAAACTGATCAGTAGAAACAGAAAATCCTACAGAATGGGTGTCTTTTACAGTGACGATGAAAAGCTTGGAAAAGGATTCCACTAAGCTGACAGTTCTTTCATGGCTGGATTATGGAACCATTGGACATGAAACAAAATAAAAATGATCACAGCTCTCCCTCTGTGCCCGAGGCGGTTTCTAGGGGGAAATTCGAATGTGAAAAGCCAGGGAGGTGATCCGAGATGCTGTAAACGGAGGTGGGGGTGCCAAGCATCAGGCAACGTGGACTTGCTCATCAGCGCTGTGTTCCTGCCTGCAAAGCTGCCTGTTGGTAGGGATCGGCACAGTCCTGGAAATACACTTTCCCGGAGGGTGACACGTCTTCAGTGAGAACACTGTTTGAGGCCTCTGTGCTCAAGAGACCGTGTTCAGCTTTTGAAATGTTTGGTGTTCTCCTTTGGAATGGAATAGTCTGGGAGGGATAAGGAGTGTGGTTGGTACCAGCCCAGGAGATGCTTTTTTTTCCCCCAGATAGGATGCTAGTTTTATCTGTTAGGTGGGAAACGCAGCAATGATTGTGCCTTTTCTCTTTTCTTATGAGGTGGAGCTGCAGGCCAGGGATGTACTTAGCTCTTCTGTTCTGTGCAGAGCCTTCTGGTCAGCTGATGGTGCATGATGTGCAGCTGCTGAGGTTCCTAGCTTCTCCAGAGTAACTCCTGCTGAAGCCTCTCTGCCATCTTGCAGAGTTGGAATCCGACGCTGTTAAGATTTAAGAAGAAACACAAAATAAAGAGAACAAACAGAAGCTCACCTCCTTCATCATGAAAGCAAAGATGTCTTATGAAGGAATTGGTTCAATTCACATAAAAACCTTGGTGTACAGAGGCAGGAAAGTATCATTATACCCATTTCACAGAAGAAGAAACAAGGAGTGATTAAAAAGAAGGAAGGAAGGGGAGAAGCAAAGAAGGAAAGAAGAAAGGAAGGGAGGATGAGAAAGAAGGGAGGAAGAAAGGATGGGAGGGAAGAAGAAGGATGAGAGGGAGGGAAGGAAAGAAGAAAGAGAGGGAGGGATAAATGACAGGGAATGAAGGAAGGAAGGAAGAAAGGAAGGAAAGGATGGAAGAGAGAGAGTCAGGCACAAAGGCAGGTGCTGGGGTCCTGGCATGAACGGAATGTACCTTTGACACGAGTGTGGTTACATTGAACTGCATGTGCCTTGTGTTGGAAATCATAAAGTCACAGTGGACTCTTCTGAAATGGAGCCACCTGGTCTACCACAGTCTCTTCTGAACAGGCTCAGAGAAGATGAGGCCATGTAGGGTGGTAAGAGGCAAAGGTCTAAGCTCCCTTGAGAAAACATTTGCTCTTCGCCATGGTTTAGTCATTGAACCTTTTCACTAAGCTCTAGTGCAAGCCTTGGGATTGAATCTCTGAGTTATCATTTACTGGCTTTATAGTCTTGGGCTAATAACTCATTTGATGAGCAAAAATGGGATGAAACTATCTTTTAGGATGGCTATGATGTGAGCTCAGAGTATGTGCAGTGGTTGTTTAAAACTTGGTAGGTCCCGTGGAGATGGAGCTATGTCATCCTGTTCCTCACCCTCAGGGTGTGTCTCATAGCACAGTGTAGTGCTCACACCTCTCTGTGTTCACCATGAGCATCACTGCACCTGCATCTTGTGGCATTCATGTGATAGTAATCATAATGGCAGGTGCAGCAGCTGATGTTCATTGAGTGTTTGCCACTCACCAGGTGATGTTCTAAGTGCATTATATATATTATTTTATTTCCATAGCATTTTGATGAAACTGGGGAAAGGGTTAATGCAACTGGACCCATGTCTTGCCGCTGGTCAATAGTGGGCCTGGAATTTGATACCAGGGACCTTGACTTGATTTCAGAGCCTGTGATCCCAAAGGCTCTACCATACAATACTCTCTGTAACTTGAAATGGAGCTGCTAATTAATTCTTTATGTCTTTTCCCATAGCCACTGATTTGAATAATTGCTTTTCAGCTCATGTTCTTACAATATCAAACCTTTTGTCCCAAATTCTCTTGTTTTTAGTAAAAGTAAGCAAGAGGGTTTTCATACCCACAGATTCAAGTTTTGAAAGCTCTGGTGTAGCATTGGGTAGGGTGTGAGAAAGAGAGGGGAGGAAATTTGTCATTTTCTTTTCCCCTAGAGATCTTTAAATTGAGATGAGTTATCTTACTGAAAGAGTTAGAGGGGGGCTAGGATTAAGATTCTAAGATGGTCTCTGAGACCCAGGCTGAAAAGCGTCATTCTCTCCTCCCTACTGTGGGGTCACTGACTCTTGGGAGGCCGTGGCAAATCCTGGGATCTAAGTCCCAGGTGTGCTTCTCTCTGGGGCACGATGTAGGGAACAGGCCTGTCCAGCATGGCCCCAGGACACTGGATCTACACACACAGATGTGTTTGCTGAGAACTTCCCTGGTACCAGGCTTTGTACATTATGTCCTTGATCTCACAGCAAAGCCCACACGGAGGTGATATTTTCTCAATTTGTAAAGAGGTGGAAACCAAGGCTTAGAAAGGTTGTAACTTATTTCAGAACCCAGAACTCATACATGGCAAAGGTCAGTTATGCCTAAAATTGATATAAAACCTTAGATTAAAAAAAATACCATACATATAAAAGCTGAGTTAGGATTCAACACTTTAAGAAGATGTAGGTAAAGTTCTTTACAAGCCCCAAGCTTTCCCTCTGTGGTTGTGTCAAGACACCTGAAAGCCATCCAAAATGGTGCCCAGTCCTCCCATATATGTGCGTGCACACACACACACACACACCACACAACACACACACACCACACACACACGCACACACGCACACACGCACACACACACAGACACACACACCACACACACCACACACACACACCACACACACACACACACCACACACAACACACACACCACACACAGACACACACACCACACACACACACAGACACACACACACACACACACTGTCATGGAATGTAAAAAACAAAGGACCCCAGGCATTCAGCACGCCTCTCTCTGTGCTTTGCCACCTAACATAAGAAAGAAGTTTTAAAAATGTTGGACAAAAAATAATTCTGGCTTGGGCAAACAAGGCTTGGAAAGGAACGAAATGCAAGCAATTTTAATTTACTTCTTCCTTACTAGCATTTAAAGCCAATTAGCAAGGGTGGAGAAAAAATTCTAAACATTGGAAACTTCATCAACAAAAACTCACTAATCCAGGAAGCCGCATGGCTTGCCGCCCAATTATACTCGCGAAAGCAATACACGGCTCTCACTGAAGAGCAGCCAGCAGTGCTCCGAAATGAATCTTGATGGGTGTAGAAAGCATCTAAATCACGAAACAATAGCTTACATCGGTGTACCATTTGGTACGCGGTCTCTTCAAACATTCACGGCATTCCTGAGACACAGGTAGGGGAGCCGACACCCTGCCCACTGAATGGACGGGAAAACTGAGGTGCAGCCGGATGAACCCATCCTCCCAAGATTAGGTAACTCATCAGTGGGAGAATGGAACCACTCCTCTTTCCTCTCATTTTCTTTCCCCTTGAGATCCATGAGAAGATAAATGCAAAGTGGAAGGCTCTGGAGAATCTCTGCAATTGGGGCGTATGTAGTAGAACCGTGGAGGGCAGATCTGTTTGAATGAATGGGCCCTTCACCTGAAACCCTTCCCTTCCCACATGCACGACCCGCTAGGGGATGTCAGCTCACAATTAACATGAGCTATTTAGCAAAGCCCATCTCCACGAGCCAGTGCTTTATGGCAGGAAGTGATTTTGTGGACGGAACCCTCCATGATACAACTGGGACTTTAACTCAGGTTTAAAGAAATAATTGAAGAGGAGCTAGTCACTTGATAATGAGAGGAGATAAGCAACTCACAGAAGATGAAATGAGGAAAAGGAGAGGAAAAGGCTGAGAAGGAAGGTTGCTATAGCAACAACAGAACTCACCTTTTCCCCATAATGACAGTGAAGGTCAGAATGGGCCTTGGGTCCCAGTAGGTACCATTGGAATGGAAGAAATCAGCTATTCAATGGAAATTCTCTCCCAAAGCACTGCTTGGGTTTTGTAGATCTCTTTAGGCAAAACTTTCCCACTTTTAATCTTCTTTACCTCTTAGGTCTCTTTTCAGTCTCTCTTCATTTCTGTACTGCTTATCATTCCAGCTGTCTTTTTGGGGAATTTTACCGTTTTGCCCTTAAATTGGTTTGAGGTTTTCATTATGCATTGACTCAGTGATGTGGGGGCAATGAATGCATTTAAAAATGGTGACAGTGGAACCTAAACCCACAGAGTTGTACACTCATTCAGAAGGCACCAGGGACACGTTTAGCTGTGGGAAAGCCACAATACCCAACTGTGTAGAGAAGTCCTCTTGTGGGAGAGCAATGAGACTCACAGGGACTCCCCCAGGCTCATGAATTCACAGGGGGTAGAGACTGCATCTCGCTTTGGGTGTAGATTAAGGACTTTATTTATCATCGGAAGAGCTTTATTTATAATCAACAAGAGCTTGATTTAAAGGAACGACACCTTATGTAATTGAAATTGTCGGGGAAACTTAGGAAGAATATGATTATGATGCTTGGTAATTAGCTCTGTTGGTGTGAAGCAGGCAGGGATTGGAGTGAAATGTTGAACAGTAAATCAGGATCCCTGATTTATTGTTCTGGTCCCATCCCTAATTCCCTCAACACCGGGAGGAACCACTGTCATTTCTCCTCTTTCCCTTATTTTTCTTTTTACCATTTTTCTGCATGTAATAGAGCAGTGGATTCTGGAACTGCTCTATTCAAAATCCTTGAGGGAAGAAATTCTATTACTGATCTCCATAAAAGACCAAGCAATCTATTCTTTCTCTGGCATTTTCTTTTTTGTCTGTAAAACAGTATTTTTTTGGGGGGAGGGGGTGGGGAGGGAGATCTCTTTTTCCTTTTATGCTTTACCATGTCCCTTTATGTATCTCTTTCTGTATCTTTCCCCCTTCCCTTCATTTGATTATTTTTCACTAGCTTTCTCATATCATTTCTTGTCTTCTGTTGATGCTATTCCGCAGTTACACTTCATGTACTCCCTTCTTCTTTCTTCACCTCTGCTACTGTTACATCTGTGCCCATTGTTTTTCCCTCTGGTGATGTGTAGATTTACTAACAAAATGACTTAAAGCTATTTGGCATACACTGTGGCTCGAACATAAACTAGATGGAGATTTAAAATGAACTTTTCTGTTTCCCAATTGCATTGATGTTTCTAATGATGATTTTAGAAGTTGGTTATTATAAAAATGACTTAATAAAGAACAACACATTTAACTGAATGAGGTTAACTATTGGCATCTTACATGTGTGCAAAGCCAGTGAGCAGTGATTTTTTGACTGTTTTTCCAGCAGTTGCCACATCCACCTTCAATTATGTACAGGAATCTTGTGAGATCTTGATTCCCTCAGCTTGTCAAAAAAAAAAATTGCACTGAACAGCAAAGAAGACTATATTCACGTTTATTGCAATGGGGAAAGAGACTATTAAAACAGGGGAAAGACTAGAAATAAACTCTTAAAACAAGGGGGAAAGTTTGTCAGCATGGGGGAGCGAGCAGGAAGTACTGGAGGACTTTGGAAGGGAGGATGGCCAATGTGCTTAGTTGTCTGTGTTTGCTAATTGGCATTTATTAAAGTTAAGCTCCTATTCTGCCACACAGATGGGAAAACAGGGACTTTGTCCTTCTGAATGACTAAATTTCAAAGCTATGGCTCTCAGATCCTTGAGAAAGACAGTCTTGGGTTGTACAACTGACAGGAATCTGGGAGATAATTTACGTCTCAAAGGGGCAGAGAAAGAACTTATAATGATGACTTGTCTAAGGTAAAAACTCTAAGAGAAGGGAAGTCAGGGGTCTGGAATTAGGAAGAAGCCTGTCTCAAGTTTAGTCCTGCAGAGGGCTGCATTGGCCCTGGTCAAGCTTAACAATTCATATGAAAATCCGATATATAGAAATATGCAATATTGCAAGATTTATGTGGATTTACCATTAGCACTGGCACAAAATACAGAGATGAACTAATTGTTGGCTAAGAAAAGTGATTTTGACTGCAAGCCAACATGAGAGACATTAAAATAAAAATAAACAGAACACGGCAGTATCGTGGGAAACAAGTATCAGTGGTGCTATGCGAGAAAGTGCACCTAAAATCAACATTCTCATAGTATATGTTTTATTTTGTTTAAAGAGAAAACTGTATAATTTGTTAATTTTATCTATTTTTTTTGAACTTCTTTCTCTAATTTTGTCTTTGAGGTCAAGACACATTGAGACATTGTAGAAGGTCAGGAATTTGCATTCAAATGCTGGTCATGTGACTTTCTGTTAATTTGGCCAACTTCAGACTCTCTTTTTCCCAAAAATGGGACATACTGTCTTTCCAAATATGTTCAAATATTTGTTCACACACAAACACTATGCTTTTTGGGTAAAAATTTACCTTTCAAGTGAGTCTGTGTGAGACATTACAGTTTGTTTGCTGGTAGACTGAATCCATCTGGAGAGGTATAATCGTCTTTCATACAAGTAGTTTTTAAAAAATGTTATCTGAGTTCATTTAGATGAGGAATGCCCTCTTCTGTTTGCCATTGTCCCAGTAAATTCCTTTGCTTTCAGTTAGCCTGGTTCTTACAGTGGCTTCAACTTCCTGAACCTTACATGCTCTGGGGATTTTGACTTCTGCTACAGTTATAATAATCAATATGGGTTTTATATATATATATATATATATATTTATATATATATATATATATATATATATATATATATATATATTTGAAAGACAGCCAAAATTTTTTAGGGTTTGTATATAAGGAACAGCAATGTCATCTTGTAGAGTAAATCATATCAATGATCTTTTGGGGGGGTTACTCAAAATGAACATGAAATATATTAAGAATGATTGATGCACTGTCCCTCCTGCAGGTCTGAGAAGCATGCTGGGATACTGAGTACATTGGTTGTCCAACATAGACATCTCTCACCAACAGAGTAACAGGTAAGAAAAGGACCATTTTAATCTATTGCATCAGTTGCTACCAGGAGGATTTCCTGGCACCTTTCTCATTTTTATTATTTTCGTATTTCTTTAAATAATGCAATTAATTAAGTACATTAGTATAAGTGACTAAGGGAAGCTTATTTCCCTTCAGCAGTTTGTATTTGGTTTTATCTCTTTTTTTTTTTAGACAAGGTCTTACTCTGTCACCCAGGCTAGAATGCAGTAGTGTGATCTTGGCTCACTGCAACCTCTGCCTCCCGGGTTCAAGTGATTCTCCTGCCTCAGCTTCTAAAGCAGCTGGGATTACAGGAGCCCATCATCATGCCTGGCTAATTTCTGTATTTTTAGTAGAGATGGGGTTTCGCCATGTTGGCCAGGCTGGTCTCAAACTCCTGACCTCAGGTGATCTGCCAGCTTTGGCCTCCCGAAGTGCTAGGATCACAGGGGTGAGCCACGGTGCCCGGCCTTTACCCCCTGTTTGACTGCACAGGTCCTTGTGTGATTAATGCTTTTACCTCGGTGTCTTTTAACCATAGGAAGCATAATCTAATCGTCTTTAGTGCTCTGACATCCATGCTCATTTTCAAGTCATATGAGAGGCCTTGCTAACTGATGGTCGATGCTCACGGACATGTGGGCTTTGACAGTCACTACCTCCTTTTCGGGCATCATGAGAGGATTCCTGCAGCTTTCTACAAGAGGTAATTATGGCCTTCTCCCAGTCTCTGGTCACCTTCCTTTCCTGGCACGAATTGGCCTCTTTGAAAGGTGTATCCTTTTCAAGGATATGCATGATGTGATTTTATAATTGGTAGGGGAAATTGGGGTCAAGAGAGTCTGCTGAAGATGAAAAGCTTAGACTGTATCTGTGAAGCTGCCATGGACTGGAGAACAAACAATTGGATTTCCCTTTGTTCGCCTGGATGGCTGGTGAGGATGCTTCTGGATTCCCAAGTCAAGTTCATGACTTATTCATAAACATACGTTTAACTCAGGTAACATTAGAGAGAGCTCTCGGAAGCCAATCCAAGTGCAAAGACATCCACCCAGTGGGGTGGATTCTTCTTAATTTTGCTGGTGCTGGGACTGTGTGCGTATTATTTTGACTGGGAACATATTACTGAGGATGGCCCTATATCCTGGTAATCATACATGTTAGCCCTTTAAAGGCAATCAAGTAAATGCGACAGTGGCCAACTGTGTTAGTGTCCTGGAAGAGTGGTTCTGAGAGATGGGGAAAGCTATCTCCCCATTGCAATCGAGGAATATTCCCTTCCCTGCCTTGCATTCTCTCTGACTCATTTTATTTTTATTATTTTTATTTTTTGAAGAAGGGTCTTACTCTGTCACTCAGGGTAGAGTGCAGTGGCATGATCACAGCTCACTGCAGGCTTGATCTCCAGGACTCCAGTGATCCTCCCACCTCAGCCTCCTGAGTAGCTGGGACCATAGGCATAAGCCACTATGCCTGGCTAGTCTTTGTATCTTTTTTTTTTGTTTTGGTAGAGATGAAGTTTCATCATTTTGTCCAGGCTGATCTTCAACTCCTGGGCTCAAGTGATACTCCTGCCTTGGCCTCTCAATGTGCTGGGATTACAGCCATGAGGCACTGCACCTGACCCTGACTCATTTTATGTCATAAAACCTTGAATATGCAATCGTGTGTAATTATCTTTCCTATGTTTTCTGTGGCCGTTTTTCTGAACCTGACGAACAAAAGGGGTTAATACGTTCACATTCCCTTTAGTTACTTTTTGTTTTCTGGAAGATCAGGAGGCAGAAGAAAAGTGGGAAAGATATTGAGTGACACTTTGCTTTGAGTGACAAATGGTGGTGGCTTGTCACAGTGCTCTTAGTCTGAGGGGGCCAGGTAGGCTCGCCTTGCAAAGGGAGCACAGAGTGGGAGCAGCAGGGCTGGGGAGAGCCTCCCGCCCTCCTGGCACCAGCCTGATGGAGAGGAGATGAGACAGGCCAGGAGGAGGTCGGGTGGCGTCTGCAGATTAGGAAGGACCTTGAACGTTTTTCTTTGGGCTTTGGCTTTAATTCCAGGTGAGAGTGGAAGTCCTGGGAGTATTCTGAGCAGAGGATTGACAAGCTGAGATCTGGATGCCATCATGGTGTCTGCGGCATCAGGGTCAGAGTGTTGGGGCCCAGGTAGAGTAGGGCGGGGCTGGTGCAGGTGTCTGTGTATGTGGTATGTAGTGGTGCAAGGGGATGATGACGTGGGGATGGTGATGGGGTGGGCTGCAGATTCTGGAGATGCTTTGAGGCTAGAGCCAACAGGGTTTCTTAATGGATGGGCAGTGGGTGGGAGAGAATGAAGTTGAAGATGGGTTTGGATTTTATTTTGTTTTTGTTTGAGCAACTCTAGTGAACGGAATTGTCATTAACAGCATAGGAAAGACTGTGAGAGAAGCATGCTTGGAAGGGACGATATATGCCAGCTTTGGGCAGGTGAAGTGTAAGACGCCAGTCAGATATCCCATGAGAGAAGCCATGCAATTGGTTGGATGAAGGCGTCTGAGTTGGGCTGGGTGCGGTGGCTCATGCCTGCAATCCCAGCACTTTGGGAGGCTGAGGTGGGCAGATCACCTGAGGTCAGGAGTTTGAGACCAGACTGGCTGACATGGCAAAACCCCATCTCTACTAAAAATTCAAAAATTAGCCAGGTGTGGTGGTGGGTACCTGTAATCTCAGCTACTTCAGAGGCTGAGGCAGGAGAATTGCTTGAGCCTGGGAGGTGCAGAGGTTGCAGTGAGCCGAGATCTCACCACTGCACTCCAGCCTGGGTGACAGAGTGAGACTCTATCTAAAAAAAAAAAAAAAAAAAACCCCACAAAAACCAGAAACAAACAAACAAACAAAAAAATGGGTGTGAGTTCAGGGGACGCATCTGGAATCATCCGTGAGAAGGGATGGGGTCTGGGAAGAACAGAGCAGAGGTTAGTGGTCTATGTCAGGATGCGTGCCAGCAAAACAAGGTTGGGGTGGTGGAGAGAATCCAGCCTGGACATGGAGGCGGCTCTCTGAAGGAGACCAGGACATGGTCGTGTGCATGAGCTGAGGTTGCAAGGAGAGACATGTTTCAAGGAGGAACAGCTGTGTCCAAGCTACCGAGGGACCACCAAGAAGAAAACAGGCAACGCACGGCTGAGATTAGACAGCGGTGGGTCATTCAGCACCACGGCCACTGAGAGACTCAGAGAGGCGATGGGCGAGAAATGCAGATGGAAAGGGGTTTAAGAATGACCAGGAAAGATCTGAAACAGAGGGAACAGATGATTCTTCTCAGGAGTTCTGTTGTAAAGGAAGAAAAGAGGAAGGTGTCGTTGGAGGGCATAAAGGTTATGAGTTTTGTTTTGCCTGCTTTTCAAGATGGGAGAAAACCCAACACTATTGGACCGGTGGGAATCATCTGGGAGAGTGAAAAAATTATGTCAAGATGAGATGGGAGAGTTTCTAGGCAGTTTTCTTCAGGGAGAAGAATGGGATTCAGTGAGCGCATAAGTGCAGATCCCTGAGAAGGGAAGGGGAACCCGGCGGTGAGCGTCTGTGGCTCCCACGGGAGGGAGGAGACATCAGACCTTTTTGAACTGGTTCCTCAGCTTTTTCCTCCTCCATCAGGAGACACGTCTCTGCCTGAAATTTGGGAATTGCGTTAGGATAGGGAGAAGAAAACTTGTCAGTGAAAGAACACAAGGAAACAAGAAATGTGAGTGAGTGTGGATGTGTGGTGTGTGCATGAGTGTGGGATGCAGGGACAGGCCCCGTAGTCTAGACAATGTAAGAAGCTAAAAAACCCCGTGTGAGAGTTCACGCAAGGGGTTATCTATAGACTAAACCTAAAACAGCCCTCAATTTCTGTGGTGGAAATATCTGGCCAGCTTAGAAAATGGTGGAAGGATACTGGGCTATGGGAATTCTGTGTCAGATTAATAAGAATAAGGGGAAATGAGACAGGTTTTTAATCTATTCACCCACCTCACAATGCTCCTCTGGTTCCCAGTGGTCCAGGTGTGTGGAGCACAGCCTCAGAGGCAGACATGCCCAGACAATGTATGTAGAACATGGTCCCTGAACAGACTTGAGCTCTGCTAGGAACCTGTGGGGATCCCCGTCAGAGTTTTATGTTAAGATGCACTTCCCTGACTTTGATGGCTGTGTCATGGTTACATAGGACAGTGTCCCTGTTCTGAGAAGACATATGGAAATCTTCAGGGGTAGAGTGTCTTGAAGTCTTCCACTTACTCATAGATGGTGTGGGAAAAATAGAGAGAACACTTAAAGCGAATGGGATACAATGCAATATTATGGTTACAGTTTTGCGAATTTTCTCTAAGTTTGAAACATGTTCAAAGTTGCTGAGTGGGGTAAGCCTGGTGGTCTGTTTCCCGGGCTCTACCTGGGCCTCTTGAGCTTTATGAAGCTCCCACCTGTCCAGCGGCAGGTGGAGCATGAGTGTGGTGGGAGGTGCTGTCTCTATCAACCCGCTTCCTCGTTTTAAATATCAACAATTGGCACTTTCTCAGTATTGGGTGAAGATCATTGTTCAAGCAATGCTGATACAGGCCTTCTAGCCCCTTCTTCAGCTCGAACTATGGCTCCCAAGTCCCTGCTCTGCGGGGTTTCTGTGGCCATCCTGCCCACGCTATGTATCAGTCTCTTCCAAGTGTGGACGATTAAAAGGACTTGCTATGTGGAATCATCACTCTTGATGGCTTCTTACTCTGAGGAAGAAACACCTCTCACTCTTGCACTGTCTTCCACCTTTAAGAGGGTCAGGTGTGCCAGTATCTTCGACTGATGTTTCTGTTGGAGTTGGGAGTGAAGCCCTGAAAAGTAGAAGATCCTGATGGGCTTTGTAACTATTAGGAAGATGTAAGACAACGTAACGTGACGTGACGTGACGTGACGTCACGTAACATACATGCCACCACACCGGGCTACTTTTTGTATTTTTAGTAGAGATGGCATTTCTCCATGTTGGTCAAGCTAGTCTTGAACTCCTGATCTCAAGCGATCCACCTGCCTCAGCCTCCCAAAGTGCTTGGATGACAGGTGTGAGCTACCACGCCTGGCCAGAAACTTTCTTTCGAGGTTTGATTTTTTCTGGGAGGGGGGTATCTTAAATTCATTTAGAAATTCATTACTGTAGAATTACTAGCTATAATCTAAACCAATTTTTGCACAAAAGTACACATTTGGTTGTCCTACATACTCTTTAGGATGAAGGAATATTTCGCTATGCGATTCTCAGTTTATCCTCAAGTTCTGCTGTAGTTTGGATCTGCTTCTACGTATTAGGTTTGAATGGAATCAAATAGGACTTTGTTATGTTGTCTGAATTCATCCTACATTATGTACTTGAAGGTTAGAAGCTTTTAAATGCACCATGGAAATAGATACACATTTCTGTAGAATAAAGCTTCTCCAGAGAGCTTTCTAATGGAGCCACATGGTTGGCACATAATAGATGGCAAAACGTGTGTTTCATTCTAGATTTGCATCTAATTTTCAAGAGAACTAAACAGAGGGGATTACTTTTCTGTCCACTGCTGAAGCATGGTTACAAAGAACAAGCTTCTGGGGCTTGATTCAACAAAAGCCAATAAACAACATGGTGGACTCACCTGGTAATAATAATATAGCATTTACTCATTTAGTGCTTACTGTGAGCCAGGCTGGCCTAGGTATAGGCCTATTTGTTTATCCCTTCAAACGGTGCAATAGCAGCACAGTCATGTAGGTATTATTACGAACATTACTTTATGTATTTATCTTTTTATGTAGAGACAGAGTTTCATTCTTGTTGCCCAGGCTGGAGGGCAAGGGCACAATCTCAGCTCACTGCAACCTCCGCCTCCCGGGTTCAAGTGATTCTCCTGCCTCAGCCTCTCAAGTAGCTGGGATTACAGGCATGTGCCACCACATCCGGCTAATCTTTTCGTATTTTTTGTAGAGATGGGTTTTTTCCATGTTGGTCAGGCTAGCCTTCAATTCCCGACCTCAGGTGATGTGCCCACTTTGTCCTCCCAAAGTGCTGGGATTACAGGCATGAGCCACCACGCTGGCCCCGAACATTACTTTACAGCAGAAAAGGCTGAGACCTGTAGATTAAGTTTGCAAGCTGGCAAATGGTAAAGTAGGACTCAAACTGAGGGGTTCTCCTTCCAGGGTCTGGGATCTTAGTTACTAACCTACCTTCTCTGAGTGGCAGTCTACAGACTGAACATTCTCACGGACACAGTAGGTAGTCACAGAAGATGGCGGGAAACTGCAGGTGTTAGGTGACATTTTTGGTAGCCAGGTCCTGCTCAGGTGAGTGGAAGAAATCTAAAAGAGGCTCGTGTTTGATTAGACAGGTGGCCCAGGCAACTGGGGGTCCAGGGTCAGTACTTAGTGGAGATTGGCACTCAGTGGAAGTTTGTGGTGGTTATGGTAATGACTATTGAATATTGCGACCCTCCCTGGCTCTTCGCAGAAGTCTCTTCTCACCTACCTTTGAAGTAGGGTGGTGGGCATGAGAGGGTTCAACCAATCAAATATAACTTTGCTTTTAGAAGAAGCTTGTTAGTAAACCTCTTCCTGTTCTCTTTCCTCTGACTCAGAAACATGATTTTCCAGAAAGCATGGACTCCACCAGCCTGGGTCTAGAAACAAGGATCAGGAAAAAAAAAGCCCTTTCAGCCCCTATTCCTGCCCAAGATGGAATCTTGGAGATGGAGATGTGTTTTGGAGCAAAACACAAAACTTGTTGTCTGAGCCCCATGAGAGTTTGGGATTATTTGTTACTTTCTTAGCCTATCCTGACTGATACACAGTGCAATGTCCTCTGAGAGGAAGCATCTCCATACCCAGACCAGGCAGAACTGGGGTGTGAGAAGATAAATGGAGTTTTCATATCTGTTCCTGAAGCGCGTGGTCAGTTCTCAGGTGTAACATTCTAGGCTTTTTATGTGAGTATGGAACCAGGATTAATGGGTGCTGGTCCTGGTGACTGTTAGAGACTCCAGCACTCGAAGCACTTGGTTATACCCTCAGAAGCCTTAAGAGATGAAGAATCGGAATTGTGCACGAAATGGGATGAACTCCTGATGGGACATGGGAATGATCTTGTAAATTTACTTAGAAACTTTTCTTTTCTTGTATATATCTCTTTTGTCTGAGACTCCGTCATCCAGCCTGGAGTGCGATGGCTTGATCTCGGCTCACTGCAACCTCCACCTCCCAGCTTCAAGTGATTCTCCTGCCTCAGCCTCCAGAGTAGCTGGGATTACAGGTACATGCCACCACACCTGGCTAATTTTTGTATTTTTAGTAAAGACGGCATTTCTCCATGTTGGTCAAGCTAGTCTTGCACTCCTAATCTCAAGCAATCCACCTGCCTCAGCCTCCCAAAGTGCTCGGATGACAGGTGTGAGCTACCACGCCTGGCCAGAAAATTTCTTCCGAGGTTTGATTTTAACTCCTCAGATGGGATTGGAAAGTTGCTGCATTTCCCTATTCCAGAAGAAAGCCAGATTTCATTTTGTGGAACGGGTGAGAACAGGCTACACCCTCGTGCATGTCTCAGAGGACTGTCACTCATGGGGTCATGGAAGAACTTCAAATCCTCTCAGAAGTCAGCACAGCTGTGGTGATACATGGGGGCCAGGCAAACAGACCCACCATGGATGTAGAGATCGGATTTCGGGGACTGTGAGGCACTGTGTCTGGCTCTCTATGTCACGCTGCTTTCACTGTGGGCAGATGCAGGTGCAGGAGCAAGGTGTGACTTGCTGCAGGTGTGACCTTCGTGGCAGTGGAGGGCCTGCCTTGGCTGTCCTGAGCCGGACAAACCAGGCGTATTCAGGAGACCGTTGGGGTTTTTGTGTCCCCTCACAACAGGGTAAAATCGTCCACTTTCACCCAAGATGGAAGAGGGAGTCAAAGAGGTTCCCACAATTGCGTGCAAGTGGCAGGCAGTGGGAGAGCCAGGACATGTAGAACCCCAGCTTACCTGTGACAGTTTCCTCATTTCACGACACTCAGTCTGACATTAGTTCAGTGGAAGAAGATGAGAAATGGGAAAGCTGCAAGGAAGCTGCTGCATTTACCTCGTGAAAGGCCACATGGAGGCAGCCACTGGGGAAAGGAAGAGGCCAGCATGCAGGCCCGATGCCTCCTCGGTGTGACCCAGAGAGTGTGAGTATCATGGATGGAAATGGGCCAAGGAGGAAACGTGTGGGACCCAGGTCAGGGGATGATGTTTATTCTGTTCACTCTGTAATCAAGCTCCCAGTACAGTGCCAGGCAAATATTTGATAGTCAGTATTTGTTAAATATTTTTTATTTTTTTGAGATGGAGTTTCGCTCTTATTACCCAGGCTGGAGTGCAATGGCACAATCTCGGCTCACTGCAACCTCTGCCTCCTGGGTTCAAGCAACTCTCCCACCTCAGCCTCCCAAGTAGCTGGGATTACAGGCTGTGCCACCACGCCCAGCTAATTTTTGTATTTTTTAGTAGAGATGGGGTTTCACCATGTTGACCAGGATGATCTCGATCTCTTGACCTAGTGATCCACTCGCCTCGGCCTCCCAAAGTGCTGGGATTATAGACGTGAGCCACCGCACCCGGCCTAAATATTTTTAAATAAATGAATAAATGAATGCATGAACAAATGTTGGGCTGATTGCAGGAAAGACAGATCTGCTGCTCAAGACTGTGGTCTTGGCTGTAGAGACAGTTCCAGTTCATCTAGAGTGAAGTGCTGGGAGCAGATGTGGTCTTCAGGAGCAGCAGCCCAGCACAGAGGGAAATGCGTTCTGCTTTTAGAAAGGGAAGCGGGATTCTCAGGCTGCTCATCTCTATGGCCAGTGAAAGACTTCAGCAGTTTGATTTTAAAACATCACTTAGTGTTTGATTTGTCACCTGATCACCCTCTGAGGCATAAAGTTGAAATTCTAGGCCGAGTACAGTGTGTCACGTCTGTAATCCCAGCACTTTGGGAGGCCAAGCCAGGTGGATGCTTTGAGATCAGAAGTTCGAGACCAGCCTGGCCAACTTGGTGAAACGCTTTCTCTACTAAAAATACCACAATTAGTGAGGTGTGGTGATACATACCTGTAATCTCAGCTACTTGGGAGGCTGAGGCAGGAGAATTGCTTGAACCCAAAGCCAGAGGTTGCAGTGAGCTGAGATTGCAACACTGCGTTCCAGCCTGGATGACAGAGCAAGGTTCCATCTCAGAAAAAAAAAAAAAGTTGAAATTGTAAATATGGATTCAACCTTTGATTTGCATCTAGTTTTCAGGCAAGAAAAATAACGATCACTTAAGAGGTGTAGCCGTGATTGCCTGGAATTGAAGTGGCTGTTTATCTTTCAGAATGCCCTCATTTCATCAGGCAGTTTTCACTTTCCTTCGCGTGCTGTTTCCTCTGTGAAGTCTGAGGGAGTCGAGCAGCTCAGTGCTGCACAATGCATTTGTTTCTTCTTTCACAGAAAGCTTTTGCTGTCATATTTGAAAATCAGCTCAGACGGACACTCCAATTTGCTAAAATCAATATAATTAGGGAAAAAATGGCTGTACTGAGAAGAGGACAATGCAAGGAACTGTCGGGCATGATTGAAATGCCTAACGAGCTGTGCATCCTCGAAGTCTAGGATTTGAACCACAGTGAAACCTGGACTTTTGTAATGGAAATTTTACATTAATGCTCAGTTCCTCCATGGCAGAGCAATGTTTGAAAAAAGCCTGATCTGGAGTTATGTCTCTTTTAAAGGGTGGTTCAAGCTGCGCACCATGGCACCCAAATGTCATGCTCACACCTGACTTCCTCACGTTATTGACATAGGCCACATTACTTCTGTGGCTCCAGTATGGTGTAAAACTGTGAAATTCTTTTGAGTCCCAGTTTGTTCTAGTAACAGTTGAATCCTCCCAGGTGTTTCTCTAAGTCTTTTGTAGAGTTAACTATTTTCTTTCTGAGATGGGAGCTTGGAGGGCAGCACAAGGAGCAATGACGTGCTTTGCCTCCGTGTGCACCCAAACCTCAGCTGGTTGTCATAACCCCCACACGTCAAAAGCAGGACCAGGTGGAGGTCCCTGAATCTACAGGCTGGTCTCCCCAATGCTGTTCGTGTGGTAGTGAGTGACTTCGCACAAGATCTGATGGCATTTTAAGGGGCCTCCACATGCGCTGGGCACCCACTCTCTCTCTTGCTGCCCTGTGAAGAGGTGCCTTCTGCCATGATTGGAAGTTTCCCAAGGCCTCCCCAGTCAAGCAGAGCTCTGAGTCAGTTAAACCTCTTTTTTTTGAGATGGAGTTTGCTCTTGTTGCCCAGGCTGGAGTGCAGTGGCGTGATCTAGGCTTACAGCAACCTCCGCCTCCTGGGTTCAAATGATTCTCTTGCCTTAGCCTCAAGAGTGGCTGGGATTATAGGCCCCTGCCACCATGCCTGGCTAACTTTTTGTATTTTTAGTAGAGATGGGGTTTCACCGTCTTGGCAAGGCTGGTCTCGGACTCCTGACCTCAAGTGATCCACTCACCTCAGCCTCCCAAAGTGCTGGCATTACAGGTGTCAGACACCACGCCCAGCCCTCTTTTCTTTACCAATTACCCAGTCTTGATATTTCTTGATAGTGACATGAGAAGAAACTTATACACAGTGTTTAAGTGAAGATTTTGGTTTGCACACAGAAGAGCGAAGTATGTGTTGTTTGTGGCCGGAGGATCATTTATCATCTGGATAACTAGGCTGTGTGCTGCAAAGCCCCCGAGTCTGTCTGAGGCTCAGGGTTTTGGCTTGAAGATTTCATGGGGGCTGGGCACAGTGGCTCAGGCCTGTAATCCCAGCACTTTGGAAGGCTGAGATGGGCAGATCACTTGAGGTTAGGAGTTCAAGACCAGCCTGGACAACATAGTGAAACTCTATCTCTACTAAAAATACAAACATTAGCTAGGCGTGGTGGTGGGTACCTATAATCCTAGCTACTCAGGAAGCTGAGGCAGGAGAACTGTTTGAACCTGGGGGCGGAGGTTGTAGTGAGCTGAGCTGAGATCATGCCACTGTACTCCAGCCTGGGAGGCAGAGTCAGACTCCCTCTCAAAAAAAAAAAGAAAAAGTTCAAAGAGTCTCATTCTTAGAGCATCTTATCAGCGGTTGAGAGGGAGGCAAGGAGTAGGAAATTTGTTGGTGTGGGAGAGATGGGTAAGATGACGGGTCTGTGCTTCTCAGGAGCCATGTGTGGAGGTTCACTGAGTGAACCAGAAGTTTTAATGGGATAAGTTTTCTCAGTGGAAAATCACAGCCAACGAGGTGGGGAAAATGAGGAGGGCACAGGCTTTGAGCCAGGCAGCAGTGGCAGCCACCCTGGCTTGGCACAGCTGGGGACCCATAGCTGCTTCTCCACCTCCCCCACAACCTTATCTTCTTATAGAAATGGATGATGAGGCCTCCCCATGTGGTGGTGATTGGGAAGACAAATGGGACATCCTATTTTAATGGTGTCAAAAAAAAGGCAACATCCCTGTAGTGGGTCCAAGCGAGCTTCTTATCTGATTTTTTACCACGAACACACACGACTGTAGTCCTTGGCTTAGACTTCACCCAGGAATACTCTGGAGGGATTTAAAGAATTTAGATATTCACAGAGATAAGGAGTATATGCAAATGACTGAAACTGTGCTGTGGGAGGTGAATTCAGAGTAACAATCACGTACGCATTCTCTCATACCCACACACCAGCCTTATGACCACGTGCCGGGAAGCTGGTATCTCCCTCCAGAGTCAGCGTCCCCACATCAATGCCTGTGACTCGGGGCATCTACAGGGAATGGCACTGCCTTCCTCCTTGAAACCTGCTGGGCTTATTTCTGGTTTCTGTGCTGCTCTGTGCTGCTTCCGCTTCTTGTTTTCAAGGCACTTAATAGAGTTGGCAGAAACTTCCAGCCAGCTGCTCTTTCTCCACGTGGGAATTTTAAGCAAGTGTTTTTCTCAGTCGATTTCAAAGGAGGGTTCACTTCTGCACTCTGTAAAGGCCACAGTGCTAGATGCTTCTTATCGACGACACTGCACTTCTGTCCATGTCTGACCTGCGTTTCTGCTGTGGGTCGCTCTGCAGCGGCTGCTGTGCCTCACCCTGCTGCCTTGGTTTTCTGCTCATGGTTCAGTGGTGGATGTGGCTTCTGCCTCAAGTCTTTTCTTTTTTTCTTTGAGATGGAGTTTCATTCTTGTCACCCAGGCTGAAGAGCAATGGTGCCATCTTGGCTCACTGCAACCTCAGCCTCCAGAGTTCAAGCAGTTCTCCTGCCTCAGCCTCCTGAGTAGCTGGGATTACAGGCACCTGCTACCATGCCAGGCCAATTTTTGTATTTTTAGTAGAGATGAGGTTTTACCATGTTGGTCAGGCTGGTCTCGAACTCCTGACCTCAGGTGATCCACCTACCTTGGCCTGTGATTACAGGCAGGAGCCACCTGGCTCAGCTAGTCGTTTTTAATAATAGTAAATTTCACGTTATGTTGGAAGTGAGAAGGGTCTTCTATGGAGCAGAAACACAGTTGTGGGACCTTGGTAAGCAGCGTGACTAAACCCGTGCTGTTACTCGCAGGGACTTACTATTGGCGTGTCAGCGGCAGAAGGTTACCTCCTGCCTGGCCTGCAGCACTGGTGCTTTGGTAATGGTGCTGGAGAGGCTGGTGATGAATCTGAGGAAGAGGCTGTGGTCACTGTGACCCCATGACCGCTCTGGGCCAGCGTCCCTCCTCTGCACAGATCTTATGTAACCCTGACAAAAGTCACATAATGTAGGCATCCATTTCATAATGAAAAACTCAAGAGAAGTTTAGGTTACATTGCTTGTATGTGGACAAGCTGAAGCTTGGACCCAGATATATGACAGGGGGCAAAGGCCTTGTTCATTCAGTTCACCTCACTCTACCATCTTTTCTGTAAAGGAATAACTTCTTTCCTTCCTTCTGCCCTGTTACTTCCTCTTCTCACTCTTTTTTAGGTTTTAAATTTATAGCTGGATATTTTGATCTTGATTAAGCTCTAATATTAACCATGCGACGGGAGTGTTTGAAGCACAAAGCACTTGCATTTCTTAGGGTGTGGGTCAGGTGGGTGGGTGTTACGGACTGAATGTTTGCATCCCCCAGAAACTTCTTCTGTTGGAACTCTGGCCCTCAGTGGAGAGGTGGTAAGAGGTGGGGCCTTTGAGAGGTGAATAGATCAGGAGGGTGCTGCTCTCATGAGTGGAATCAGTGCCCTCATAAGAGGAGCTGAAAGATTGTGCTTCTCTCTCTGCCACACAAGGAGTCAATGGGAAGGTGTCTGTCTAGAAGCCAGATACCAGCTCTGCCAGCACCCTGATCGAGGACTTCCCAGTCTTCTGAACATTGAGAAATAACCATTTGTTGTTTAAGCCACTAGAGTTTTCTGGGATGACGGCCAGAAGTAAAACAGTTGGATGGTACAGACAAGATGGCCGCTGAATCAGTGTCCCTCATGGAAAACGGTGCCTAACACGGCACCCAGCACATACTTAACACTTAATAAATGCTGCTTGAATGAACAAAGACATGGATATGAAAGCACCACCATTACATCCGTCGGTGATTTCAGTCCTGTAAAGGTGTCAGCTTGGCATGCTGGTACATTGTCGGGCGTGGCAGGTGTGGTGGACACTGTGATGATACCTTCAGTAAAGGCCTCCTTGCCTCAGTGTTGGGGGACAGCTGTGCACAGTCTCCTGCTCTCAGCCCCTTCACAGGTCACTGCAGCTGCAGAGAGCCACCTGGCCCCGACTTCTGCCCTCCCAGATGGCCCCGGGCCTAGGGTGACGGATACAGAAGGCTGAGCCCCCAGCTCCCGGCCCCACTCTGGATGGCCCCGGGCCTAGGGTGATGGATACAGAAGGCTGAGCCCCCAGCTCCCAGCCCCACTCTGGATGGCCCCGGGCCTAGGGTGATGGATACAGAAGGCTGAGCCCCCAGCTCCCAGCCCCACTCTGGATGGCCCCGGGCCTAGGGTGATGGATACAGAAGGCTGAGCCCCCAGCTCCCAGCCCCACTCTGGATGGCCCCGGGCCTAGGGTGATGGATACAGAAGGCTGAGCCCCCAGCTCCCAGCCCCACTCTCGATGGCCCCGGGCCTAGGGTGATGGATACAGAAGGCTGAGCCCCCAGCTCCCGGCCCCACTCTGGATGGCCCCGGGCCTAGGGTGATGGATACAGAAGGCTGAGCCCCCAGCTCCCGGCCCCACTCTGGATGGCCCCGGGCCTAGGGTGATGGATACAGAAGGCTGAGCCCCCAGCTCCCGGCCCCACTCTGGATGGCTCTGCAGGGCCTGTCCAAGGGCTGAGCTCCCAGTGGTTAACAAGGCTGTTGAAATGCCTCCCAGTGTAACTTCTGCTCTGCCCACTTCTGCCTGCTTTCTTCCCTTCCTCTCCTTAATAAATGCCCTGCGCATCAACAGTCTTGGCGTGGGCTTCCTGGAAACCCACAGTCGGGAAACTCAGTCTGCAGCACCAGGTGGCCAAGCAGCGGCTGACTTTTTTTTTTTCTTTTTTTCTACCCTCAGACTTTATACTTGTCATTCCCAATGTTGCTGTTAGGTGATTGTGCATGAGGAAATGTAATGAATAGGCAGCATCTAGAGCACTCTTAATGTTCTGTAACAATATGTTCTTATAGGATAAAGATCTATTATTAACTATAGCTAATTTGCATTGATATGTAAACATAAAGCCAACTTTTTATTTGAAACAGATTACAAAGAACTGCCAATGCCTAGGTACTTCTGAATGCCTTCTCTTTAGTGTAACTGAAATTAATTGCAATTATGCGTGTGTGTTTGCCCGTCTCACTTGAGTGTGATGTTTCCTGCTTATACTTTTCTCAGTATATTTTTTTTAGAATTCTAAAGGTGTTGCAATATACTGATGAGAACTGGATGTGAGCATTGCTTTTTGTCCTAGGACACTTGATTCTGAGTTTAATCCAGTTTTATGTTCTAAACATAACAAGATGAAAAATGATAACTGCACCCACTCAGTATTACTGTGTGTGTCTTTTCAGTGGAAATGATCCGTTATGTCTCCGTACGGAGCTTATTCTGTTTATCAAACAGTTCCAGCTTGTTCATTTTCTCTTTTTTCCCAGCTTCTTATTCTCTACTCGGACTATGACAAAGAGCATCACAGGAACCATATGACATGCTGTATTTGGCTACACGTCTGTGTCCCTGCAAAGGCTCCTGTGTCTAGAGTGTGGGGATCACGTTCTGATTCTCCTTCCCCAGCAGAGTGCTCAGCCAGCATGTAACTGGGGATCAGCAACATTTCCGTAAGTGGGAAGGATGAGGAGTGAAGGGTGTTTCTGTGGCCACATGTTGGCCCCTTTGCTCAACTCAAGGGACCTCTCCAGCCTGGTCTACCTTCCGCAGTGGGAAGAGAGGAAAGGGACACGAGAGTCATGTGTAAAATGTGGCTCCATCATCTCAAATCAGGGATGAGCTCCTGCCTATTTCTAGATATGTCAGTGAAGGTAGATGCAGAGAGATAGAGAGAGAAAGAGAGAGAGTGAGATGGAGAGAGAGACAGGAAGTGGGAGAAGAAGTGAAAAAAGAGAGAAGGAGAGGGTGAGGGAGATGGGGAGAGAGAGAGAGAGGGAAGCAGAGGGAGGGAAAGAGAGGAAGGAGAGAAAAGGGGAGGAGACAGGGCTGAGAGACCAGACAGTGGATTTAGAGTCCCTGGTTCCGACAAGGTCCTTTGTGAAATCAGAACAGGTTGTTTTTCCACTGGAGAGCGGCATCCCTGTGGGCCCATGGCTTTCCCACTGGGCTGCATCTTGGTATGAATTAGAAAATGTCATCTTTAGATTGGAGATTCTCAACCTCAGCAGTGTGGCCATTTGGGCCAGATAATTCTGCTTTCGGGGGCTGTCCTGTGTAGAATGTTTAGAGGAGCATTCCTTGCCACTACTCACTAGGTGCCAGTAGCATGTATGTCAAGTTGTGACAATCAAAAATGTGTTCAGATATTGCCAGTGTTTCCTGGAAGGCAAAATTGCTTCCTGTGAGATCTGCTCACTTAAATGAATGTAGCTGTGTGCAAAAGTGCGTGGTCTGGAAAAGGACTGTAGGCGGGTTTTTTGTCATTCCCCGATGACTTTCTGTGTTCCAGTTGCTCCCTTGGCCAGATGCACTTGTGCAGTGCACAATCTCCACAACTGTACATAGCAGTCCTGCTGGTTCCCATGCCTTCCTGTGTCATGGCTGAATCTCTTCCACTGGGTTATCTCGGACACCCCTGAGTCCTTAAAACAAATGTGCCCTTTACACCTTGTCTTGACTTTAGTTTTATTTGTAAGCAAACAGGTGTTATCATCTTTTTCTTCTTTTTTTTAAATTGTGCTTCAGATTCTGGGGTACATGTACAGATCACGTAGGATTGTTGCATAGGTACATACTTGGCAAGGTGGTTTGCTGCCTCCATTCCCCAGTCACCTATATCTGGCATTTCTTCCCATGTTATCCCCCCCAACCTCCCCACCCGCCACTGTCCCTTCCTAGCCCCCCAACAACAGACCCCAGTGTGTGATGCTTCCCCTGTGTCCATGTGTTCTCATTGTTCGACACCCACCTATGAGTGAGAACATGTGGTGTTTGATTTTCTGTTCTTGTGTCAGTCTGCTGAGAATGATGGTTTCCAGATTCATTCAGGTTTCTACAAAGGACACAGACTTATCTCTAACCCTAGAAGAAAACCTAGGTGTTATCCTCTTCTTATCCCTCCATCTCTGTTTATGTTTCATCAGAAATTTCAAAAGGTGCTTCCCTGTTTATGTGAGCACAGGTAGCTACTATCTATCTTTTGGAACTTTTCGCAAGTGTAAAAGTGTTTGGTTTGAAAGGTGTTACCTGTATTCAACACTCATCAAATCTCTTCTTCTAGGGCCTTTTCTTCTTTCTCTGACATTTTATTTTTGGACAAAACACATCTAAGACACCACAGAGTGTATTAGTTTCCTTACAAGAATGTGGCACCATTCGCCTTATTAACGCTGTTTGATCTTTGACAGGTGATAAAGATATGACATGAAACATATAATTTCACATTTGAAGAGATTCCAATTAGCATATATGAGACAGGAAAAAATAAAGAGGATATTTGCTAATTAATTGAAAATCATGCTTCTGTTTAGAATGGCGTTTCTCAAACTATCAGGTCTGTAATTTCATGAGAAAGAAATCACCACCATTTTAAAGTAACAGAAATAGGCCTGGCATGGTGGCTCATGCCTGTAATCCCAGCAATTTGGGAGGCTGAGGTGGGTGGATCATGAGGTCAGGAGATCGAGACCCTTCTGGCCAACATGGTGAAACTCCATCTCTACTATAAAATACAAAAATTAGCTGGGTATGGTGGTGGGTGCCTGTAATCCCAGGTACTCGGGAGGCTGAGGCAGGAGAACTGCCTGAACGAGGGAGGCGGAAGTTGCAGTGAGTCGGGATTGCGCCACTGCACTCCAGCCTGGGTCACAAGAGCGAAACTCCGTCGAAAAAAAAAAAAAAAAAAAAGTAACAAAAAATAAAATACAAAATACTACCTTAAATAAGTTATTTTTATTTCTTCTTCTTCTTATTTTAAAGAGTGATCACGATAGCTGTCTCTCCCTGTGGTATCTGTTATCCAACTCACTGGTGCCAAATCCGAGTGTGAGGTCAGATTCAAGCGTCCAGTGTCCTTTCTTTCTATGAAATGAAAAATCTGTACTCTCAATTATAGGTTGTCAGGAATGACAGCAATTGTTTGGTGGCTCTATAATACAGTTTTGGATATTTTATCAAATATGGCCCCGGAAATTATAGAGCATTTTCTTACTCAAGAAAATGTTCAGACACCGAGACACTGAATCGATGAGCATCTATTGCACTCAGAGGTGCACTGAATGTTTGAGCTTTCAAGGTTGCAGGGAGTGAATCCCTCATTCCTGTCTGAGCTGCAACTGGGCCTAAAAAGGATTCTTTTTCCATGTTTGGTTATAGCGTTGGAATGCGATTTCTAAAGATGCTCCATAATATGTCATCACATTGGCTCCAGGGGGAAAAGAAAACCTCTTTCTGGATTGGCCCTCGCCGGGGTCTCCAGCCGCACTGGCCTTTTTGGACTAGCCATCCAGGGACCTGCTCACCCCCGTGTGTTTGCACTCATCTCCCCCTGGTTCTCTTTGCATGCCTGGCTCTTTTGCATCTCAGATATGTCCTCAGATGGCACCTCTCCAGAGAGGCTTTTTCTGAAGTGGTGTCCCAGGTCACTCAGTCCCATCACGCTGTTTAATTTCTCCCCGGCATTTACTGCAATCAGTAGTGACTTTGCTGACTTGTTTACATTTTCCCACCGGCAAACAAGGTCCCCAGACGTGCGGCTGCACTGTGTGCGCAGGTGCGTTTCCAGTGCCTGGAACGCAGTAGGTGTTTGATAGACAGGCGCTGGATTTCTAAACTGCTGTTTCTTCCCACTAGAAACTATCATCTTTTAAATCCTGTAAACGTATTTAGATTTTGATTTCTTCTCTGCCTTTTTAAGATAAAAAGCTAATTTTGGATGTAGAGCATTATTTTGCACTTTTTCTTTCTGAAAAATAAACCTGGTTTATCAGAGAGGTGACTTTACTCTCTTTGAAAATGATGTGAGGGTTTGATGGCTTTGTGCTGTTCTTTAGAAAAATCTCACAACTTTCAGTTCACTGGGAGGCAGGAGCAAGTGGATCATTGGTCCATTAAAGTCCATTTTTCAAATAATTGCTATTGGATTAAAAAAAAAAAATCTTTTCCTTTCTTTTTCAATTGTGTGGAAGAAATCACACTTTTGGATGAATTGTCCCAACACATGTAATTTCAAATTCTACGCTCCCATGAAAATCTTGCTCACAATGGTTATAGACTGAATTGTGTCCCCCAAATTTTATATGTTGTAGTGCTCTCTCTTTCTCTCTCTCTTGCATGCTCTCTCTCTGTCTCTCTCTGTCTCTCTCTCTCTCTCTCTCTCTTTCCATGTAAGCATATAGGAAAGGCCTTGTGAGGACACAGAGAAGGCAGCTATCTGCAAGCAAAAGAGAGGGCCTGATGTGGTTTGGCTGTGACCCCCCCCCCCAGATCTCTTCTTGAGTGTGGTTCCCATGGTCCCCATGTATGGTGGGTGGGATCTGGTGGGAGGTAATTGAATCATGGGGGCAGTTACCCCCATACTGCTGTTCTCATGATAGTGAATGGGTCTCATGAGATCTGATGGTTTTATGGAGGGCAATTCGCCTGCATATGCTCTCTTGCCTGCTGCCATGTAACATGTGACTTTACTCCTCCTCCTCTGCCTTCCACCATGATTGTGAGGCTCCGCAGCCATGTGGAACTGTGAATCAGTTAAACCTCTTTCCTTTATGTAGCACCCAGTCTTGGACATGACTTTCCTGGCAGTATGAGAACAGACTAATACAGGGCCTCACTGGAAACCCTAATGGTTTTTTGATCTTGAACTTGCAACCCCCAGGACTATGAGAAATAGGATTCTGTTTCTTAAGCCATCTAGTCTGTGGATCTTGCTATGGCAGCCTGAACAGGCCAATACACCAATGTACATATAACTTTGAATTTTTCAATTCTGTTTACTATTCTCAACACTAGTTCTGTGTTATATTTCAGTGAATGAACTTTGAGCCATTCACTCATTTATTTTTTAATTTAGGAGTAATGCACAATATACTACTAAGCATCAAATGTCAACTTCAGTGTAAATCACAACACGCATTTGCAAGAAGAGTTGCAAGTTGTCAACAAAAATTTAGCTGATTCCAACTGAGTACCCATGTTACCTTTAGGAAAGTAATGAATCTGAGGATGATGTGAGATTTATGTAAAAATTACAATTAATGTAGCATTTCAAATATTTGCAATATATGTGAAAAATAATTTTATTGCTCTTTCCTCTGAAGCAGAAATGAATTGAAAACCACTTGATGGGGGTGTACATGGCAAAATACAGAGCCTCCTTTACTTTCAAACTTAATGATTTGAGGACATTGACTCCTGATAGGTCAAGAGTCTGAAAGCATGGTGTATTAGTTCATTCTCATGGTGCTAATGAAGACATACCAAGACTGGGTAATTTATAAAGGAAAGAAATTTCATTGACTCACAGTTCAGCATGGCTGGAGAGGCCTCAGGAATCTTACAGACATGGCAGAAGGGGAACCAAGCACATCCTTCTGCATGTGGTGGCAGCAAGGAGCAGTGCTGAGCAAAAGGGGGAAAAGTCCCTTAAAACCATCAGAACTCATGAGAACTCATTCACTATCATAAGAACAGCATGGATATAACTGCTCCCATGATTCAATTACCTCCCACCAGGTCCCTCCCACAACAAATAGGAATTATGGGAATTGTAGTGCAAGATGAGATTTGGATGAGGACACAGTCAAACCATATCAGATGATGAGGGAGCTTGCCTTTAACTGGTACTGAGTCTACTAAGCTGCATTTACAGGTAACGGACAAGTTTTGAGCTCCACATATGAAGACCCTGGGGTATAGAACACATGCTGGTGACCTCTGTGTGCCTCATGGAGCCATGTCCCCACTTCTTCATTGTGGGCTGTGCCCTGGGAGGCTGGCCTCTGTTGGCTGCATCAACAGTTGACTTTGCCCTCTGGCCTTGATTGGGTTCAGGTGATAGGAAGTACCTGCAGGAGATCAGAGAAGGGGGGGCTCAACAGTGCCCATACCCTGAATGGCACCCATGTCCTAATCCCTGGAACCCAAAAATAATGGCCTTTTAGGCACACAAGACTTTGCAGAAGTGATCGTGCTAAGGATCTTGAGATGGGAAGATTATCTTGGATGGTCAAGATTGACCCAATGTCATCACCCAGTGGTCTTATCAGAAAGAGGCAGGAGGATGAAAGTCAGAGGAGACATGGTGACTCAGGCAGAGATGGGGTGATGCAGCCATGAGTCCAGAGGGCCTGGCCACCCCTAGAAGCTGGAGGCAGCAAGGCGTACATTCTTCTCTGGGTTCCAGGAGGAACCAGCTCTAGTGACATCCTAATTTTAGCCCCATGACACTCATTTTGGACTTCTTCAGAACGTTAATAGAGTTCGAAAAATACATCACCGGCAATTGAAACGTTTTAAGTGGCAAAACCATACCATTTGCTTCTCTTTTTTAGCTTTTCATGTAGGGAAGGAGGTCGCTTCACTTTGTATTTGAAATGGAATTGTTTCTGTTGTCTTCCTAAACCTGGAGAGTGAAGGAAACCATCCTCAAGGAGTCAAGTCAGACTTCCCGTGCAGTCCTGTCGATTCAAAGGAGCTTTTCCTTTTGTAAGACGGCAACATAATGGAAGCATTTGTCCTCCTGCCACTAACGCAGACCTCTGTGTTCTAAGCCATTAACTATTCTGGTAAATTCTCACGGGAGCAATAGGGAGCTAATTAGAGGAGGAGCAAGGATGAGGTGAGAGAGCTTGTTCTCCCTCCTCCCCTGCTTCCTGGGGGTGGCGTCTGATCTGGTTTGGGTCTGTGTCCCTGCCCAAACCTCATGTGGAACTGTAACCTTCAGTGCTGGAGGTGGGGCCTGGTGGGAGCTGACTGGATCACGGGGGCATATTTCTCACAAATGGGGCTGTTCCTGATATGGTGAGTTCTTGCAAGATCTGGTCGTCTGAAATGGTGTGGCACCTCCCTTCTCTCTCTCTCTCGTTCTGTCTTTGCCATGTGACATGCCTGTTTCCCCTTTGCCTTCTGTCATGATTGTAAGTTTCCTGAGGCCTCCCCAGAAGCCAAGCAGATGTCAGCACCGTGCTTCCTGTACAGCCTGCAGAACTATGAGCAAATTAAACCTCTTTATAGCAATGCGAGAATGCCTTCCTGCAGCATCAGTGAGCTGCACCCATCTCTGTCCTTCTCTCTCACTTCTCTTAAGGCCCAGGTGTGGGAAAGAAAAACTCTCCACCTGCCCGACCCTTGCAAACAGAATTTCTTCTACATTTTCCTCATTTTATAGGAAATGGAATTTGCCATCATTTCCTGCTGGGCTTCTGCAAGGAGTAGCAATAAGGAAGCCAGGATGGGACTCTGCAGGAGATGAGCTTGTACTGTAGCCTCCTCTCTCTGGCTGGGGTCTACCTTTTTAATTGAATCCCTTTTGGGCCCTAATGAGAACGAAACACATTCCTCTAACTGGTGACCTCAGTCCTCAAGCCCCAGTGCTGTGGCTGCTATTTCAAAGGATCAGATTTGGTTCCTGTGGAGAACATCTCCCATTGATTTCCAAGTGTTAACAATGGTGAAGAGAGAGGGAGTGAAGAAAGTGGAATTAAAACACTGCCATGAGAAACTAAAGACGTGTCATAAAATATATCAGAAAACTTGAGAAAATGAACTCTTCTTGTGTTTTTAAAAACAAATCTTAAAGAGCTCTTAATTTGAGTATCCTATTAATTTTTTTTGTTTAAAAACTATTTTTTTTTTTTTTTTTTTTGAGATGGAGTTTCACTCTGTTGTCCAGACGGGAGTGCATTGGGGTGATCTCAGCTCCCTGCAACCTCTACCTCCCAGGCTCAAGCAATTCTCGTGCTTCAGCCTCCAAAGTAGCTGGGATTACAGGCACAAGCTATCATGCCCAGCTAATTTTTGTATTTTTCATGGAGACAGGGTTTCACCACATTGGCCGGGCTTGTCTCAAACTCATGACCTTAAATGATCCACCCGCTTTGGCCTCCCAAAATGCTGGAATTACAGACACGAGACACTGCCTCATCCAAAAACAATTCTTAAAGTAGCGTAAAGAACTCTTATTTTGAATATCCTCTTAATTTCTTGAACCTTTGAAATAGCACAAAAACTTCTTTGGAGAAGGGGAATAGGATCCCTGTGGAAGGAGAGGAAAGTTTGAGCAGACCATCCAGTGGGAGGCAGTGAGATGACAGTTTCTCTTTTCTTATCCCCCTGTGCTTTCATGGCTATGCACTGCCCAGGTGCAGTCAATTATGTAATGCTCTGCTGCGAGGTAATGATAATTTGGGGTTTTATGCTAAATTTTCTGGCAATATTGGAGAAATACATCACTTACCATGAGACTGTGTTTTAAGGGGCAAAACCTGTATCATTCACTTTTCTTTTTAGTTTTTCCACCTTGGGAAGGAGGTCTCTTCACTTTCTATGTGAAAAAGAATTGTTTTTGTTGTTTTCCTAAACCTGGAGAGTAAAGGAAGCCATCCTTGAGGAGTCAGGATAATCTTTGGATGTAACGCCTGTTGCTTTAAAGCATCTTCTCTCTCTCTGAGACAGTGATATAAACGAAACGTTTGTCCTACTGCCATTCATGCAGTTCTACCATTTGCAGTGGCCTGGTTCCCTCTGGGTGGCATGTCTGTCTCACTGGGTGTTGTGAGAGGAGGAGAGTGGGATTCTTACCCAGGTGCTGCTGCTGGAGGCTCTGTGATGCCTGCCCTTTGTCACTCAACAGGCAAGAGCTGTCCGTGGTCACTGTCACTTTTCAGCATATGATTTAATTGGTATTTCACGACTCGGCAATAGAAAAAATGCTGGAATGTTTGTGCAGATGATTGACTTGGAGGGAACCCTACTCTGTGCTCCTAACACAGGGTTGTGTTTGTCCCTCCTTCCTCTCCAGCTGAACTGGCTCATGGAATTCCACCTGGGAATTGGAAGAGCCTCTGGAGCAGCCCCAATTCCTGCTGGTCTGCATTCTGTGGTTGGGGTGAGTGGAGTGAGTGGAGCCAACCCAGACCGTGGGATGTGGCCGAGTGGGATCTGCAGGCTGGCTCTGCTCGCCCAGTGGGCAGAGACGGGGACTCGGGTCGGGGCTGTGCAGGCTGGGTCTCTTTGCTTCTCAGCCTTCTGACACTGCTCTCGGCCACTGCTGCAGGCA